AATCAATAGCTGCTTTAGTTGGTGATCATTTCCTCCATTCTCATGACCTTAATGTTTGATTTTAGGGTCATACTGTAAGGAGAAATTAGATGCTGGTCACTCTTAGCGATCAAAGGGTTAATTCCACAATATATATACAGTCAGGTAATTGAACTACTCTTCAGCAATGCACAAATCATACATGTTCTCTTAAGATATTAATAGTGTTTATTTAACTGATACATGCATGAATATAATTCATTGTTACATTGTATGAGTTACGTTGTATGAATCACATGTGAACCAGTTACACCCATCTATTGAAGAACAGTCTATAGATTTCTAATGAGATCTATGCTTTTAAGTCCTTACAAATTATATTTCATGCAAACTTAAGAGTATCAAAGCCAAGATATTAACCTAAAATCACTGCTTCCCAGAGACGAGATTTGTGATAAATTATTCATTTCCAGCGTCACTTTAGACCACCTGTCGTGACACTCCTTCACAAATAGCCTAGACTAAAACTGTATATGTGTTGTATTTGAACAAAATCAGCAAAAATGTTCCTAATGATTTAATCTTCCACTTTTTCTCCATGAGGAACGCTCGGAAAAATGTTATTTTGAATAACGATGAAACAAATACCGCGATAAAAAGACAAAAAAATATATCGCGTGATATTTTAGTATCTTTCGCCCGCGAAGGACTAATCCGTCTCGTTCACATTTACCGCAGAAGCGTTATGTCAACTTGCATACTCAAACATTACGATAGTCTTGTCGATATTTTCACAATAACCTTTAGCTTTGACCACTTTTGGCTAACAAACGAATATCGATTCCTTTTCGGTTGAACATATTTTCCATAAAGGTCACCCAGAGTCCTCCCGTACGTATGCAAAGGTTAAAAACTTATTAAGCTTTTAATTTTCCCGACTGCATAACAAAATCCGCGTTGGCAGGTTATCGCAACAGATTTCGTGAATTTTCCCTCAAATAATACCAATTTCAAAGACCCAAGAGATAATATTTTTTTTTCTTTTTTTGAAGAAAGATAAAATTCAAATTCAAAATTGCAGGAATAAGTACCCGATCGATCGCAAAGAAATATTACCAGTAATTTAAGCGCATGAAGCTTGTCTGACATTTCAATCTCTTCACACACCTCAACGATTGTTTCTAGCTCCTTCTTCTTTTTGGCTCCAGCAGCATACTCACATGAAAACAAAAGAAAAACACCACACAACAGCACTCTTAAGTTATTCTCCATTTGAGATCATTATCCAATTTACGCTATCTTTGAGTGTTAATAAATGTTGGCCGTAATCTAATCGTGGCAAGTAGAGGCAGGCGCACGTTTCTTGCATCTTGAGAAAGCCTGGGAATGAACATCACTCAATATGGCGGACGAAGAAAGCCTTGAAGAATTGAAGATAAAGATTGACTCTTTATCGCATCCAGAAGTGATGGCTCTCTTTAGCGAAAAACTGGGGAAGATAATGGAAGATCCACTCCTCATTGGATTGCCAAATGAGCCAACTCTCGATGAGATGAACTCGCAGATTGCACTGGAACATGGCCGCGCTATTGTTGTGAACGTTCGTCAGCAAGATGAACAAGGCACTTTGCTACGTAAGAAGAAACTCAGATGTATTCTGCGTAGTTTTTTTTAACCGTGAAGCGAATATAGCTACATACATGATAAATTATCGATAGAGAAATGAAATGATAAGAACATAAAAATAAATTACAATCACATTATTAAATATTATAAACATTAGACTTACTATAAAAATCTGTTTGGTCGAGAGCATCCAATCAATACAAAATGGCATATGATGTTGATATGATAACCCAATCTCTGCACCAGATATTGTATTTGTCATGATGTGTCAAAGTCTGCCTAGTTTCTAAGCCCCTCGTCCATGTAGTTGTTCTTAAACTTTTGTTAACTCAAAGAGAAGAGCATTCTTTTGCAGATTAATTTAAAAGTGTTTAACAAAACAAATATTGAATTTGACTTTTGCAATAATTTTATATGTCTTTTAATAAACTTTCAGCTGTAGTTGTCATCCAAAATGCAACAGTGCATGACTTAAAGAAGGCAATACAAAGACACATCTCACTTAAACTCTCCAGGGAAGGAGGTCCCAATATTGTCTCTTGGTAAGTAGATAACAAATCAAATGCTATCAATTTTACATACTATGGTGTCGCAAGATCAAAACATCAGTCCACTTCATTGTGTACTTGATATATATTCATGTTTTAAGCCTTGAAAATTTGGTATTGAGTCAAACAATATCACCAAATATTCTTTTCTTCTGACATTAGCTTCCTGATTGAAAATTTGTTGATATTAATGGTAGAACACTCGTGGTGGTGGAGGGTTAAATCTAAAACATCAACAGAGTGAATGGAATTGAAATTCCTGAGGTGTTGGATGCCTACTATCAAAAAGCATAACAGCTGATTGCTAAGAAAGCAGACCTTTAACCCTTTCACCCCCAAGATCTAATTAGTAATTCTCCTTTCTATCTGCCATACAATTCTCATGATGTTAGTTCAGAGAACTTGGTATTGGATCAACTAATAATCCCATAATTTATATTCTTCTCTATTCTCATCACCTGCCTGCTTGATACTGTATTGATAATGTAAGGAGAAATTCTCTCTTGGTCACATGTGGGAGTGAAAGGGTTAAGGACTTTCTTCTTATTAAGCTATTTAATACCTAGTAAAACTCATTTCAGCTCTGTGAGATTCTATGTAAATACTATGTGAATCGGTATGTAAAACCTATTTTAAGGCTATTCAATTCTCTCTTTACTAATCTACACGATACATTACATAACTGTTAAATAGACTATGTAAAGGTTTCATTTGAGTAGTAAAAATATAGGATTTTTTATCAAAAAAAGTAGCAAAAGATATAGAAATATCATATGATTTAAATAAGGCCTCTGTAAGACAAATT